GCCTTGTCAATGTGTGCTGCAGGTGGCCAGGGCTTCAGGTGCCAAGGTTGCAATAGCTGCTGCTCAGGGACTGGCAGAGGCTTTTCATCCTCCATCATGGTTGTGTACCCTGATACTGGGTTCATGCCTCAGCTGCAACAGGCCCTCTCTCCACTGAGAGAAGAGATGGTGTAAAGGGAGAGGAGCAGGGACCAGTTCTAGTTACTTTGACCTATTCAGAAGTACTTGCTGTTGGTGCCCAAGACAACATGTCTGCAGGGCTGTGGGCAAGGGCAGAGTGAGCCCCTGTCCTGGTAGTTTGCTCAGTGCAGCCACTGTGAGCCCCAGACTCTGCTGAGCAGTGAGGGTGGGTGTGTGGAGAAAGTGGGAGAAATCAGGTCAGCGACTGCTCAGGGCAGGGGTGAGGCTTGTCCCTGGTGCTCACCTTGCTCTTGCCAGGCTTTTGCCACAGGACAGACCATGGCAGGTGGGCAAGAGGTTGCCCATCCCCTGGAGTGGGGGAACAGGCTGTGGGGAGAGCAGCAGCAGCTGGGGCTCACGCTGGCTTTTCTTGGGGGGGCTCTGCAGAGACAGTTGGAGACACAGGCACTGCCAGGCCACCAGCTTCCTGGGAGCAGAAGCTGGTACAGGCAGCTGCCTGCCAGAGATGTGGGCTGGAGAACTGGGCTGTGGCCACGTCCTGTGCACCAGCCGGGGCAAGTGGCTTCACTGTGGCTCTTGCTCGGTGGTTTCTTACTGCAATGCCATCACAGAGCCAGCGCAGGACGGGCAGAGTGGCACAAGGCCAGGCAATGAGCAGTGCCTGTGTGTCTGTCAGCCTCTGCCCGCTGCTTTCCCACCATCAAGTGAGGGTCAAATAGTTTCCATTGCTCCAGCCTTGAAGAGTCTTCTCCTCATCACGGTCAGAAATAGCTAGCCCTGGGCTGGGAGTGAGCTATTTGTGGCTACTGGTTAGGAAGGAGGAATGCACAGAGCTCCCCGGGCCTCCCTTCCTGCATCCACATGCCCTCACCAGCTGCTGAGCTAAAGCTTAAAAAATTCAAGTGGCTGTACTCGGAGAAATGAAGTTTATACATAGCAAAGCCCAGCGTGGCCTTCAGTGAAAGTGCTCGGGACCAGCTCCCTCAAACCCTTCCTGCAGCCAACACCGCCCTGTGGGTACACATTCGCTGCTCTCCAGACCCCAAAGTCAAGGGGTCAGGGACCTGGTGCTGCGTTTGGGGCTTTCAGCAATCCCTGAAGTGTTGGCTGGTGATTGCTGGGCACCATCTACAGCCATTCAGTGTTGTTTTTCTGTGTCACTTTGGGACCTGGGTACTGAATATCCTTCTGTAGTAGCTCTGATGGCAGGGTTTCATCTGCTCTGGTTTGGCTGATACAAGCTGGTTACAGGCGAGGGCTGAGCATAGCAGCGTCCTGTCCCCATCTTGGCCAGGTGCAGGGTACATGCAGCCAGCTGGTGCCACTGGTCCTTCCCTGGCTATTTTTCTCTGTTTAACCACATTTGCAGCTCCCGGTGAGCCTGGGCCATGCTGTGCCACCAGTGCCACCCTGGGCATGGGTCAGGCACGATGGGGAGCAGCCCTTGGTAATGCCTGTGGGAACAGCCCTGTGAAGGTGCAATGGTGGAGGTAGTGGCAGGGTGGGAGTGCTGCCCTTCCCACCATGGAAAAGCTCCTCCTCACTCTCTGAATCCAGGCCAAAATGATTCTCTGTCTCCCCATTCCTCCCAGCTGAAGCTGATGGGGATAACAAAAGCCTTGTGCCCTCTCCACTGCTTCCTGCCCACCTGCTCCCCAGGGACCAGACAAGCCCTTAAAGCCAGATCCACAGCCACTGCTTGGCAATGCTTCACACAACCAATTCCCAGAGATGCTTTCCCTCTTCCTCAGCCACCCATCCCGCTGAGACCCCCACAGACCAGTCCCAGCTCTCCCTGCCACCTCCAGCCCAGCCCTCATCACCTCAGTGACGCACCACAAAGCGCCAGGCATTTCTTAGAAACATCATCATTTATTAACTTGAACAACTGCCACTACAGCAGCAGCGTCTCCTGCTCAGATGTCGGTGGCATGGTTTTCCTTTTTTAATTTTCTCCTAAGGTACTTTAAAATGGAAAAAAAAAAAAAAAGATTAAATGAATTTATGGTACTGAAACAACAGTCGAATTCGTTACAAGAGGGCCCTTGTTGTAATCCCTTTGCAGCGAACGGCACAGGATGGAGTAAGGGAGGCTGCACCCATGACATGGAGGAAAACCACAGGGCACTGCTGCCCAGCTGTGTGCGGCCCTCCACCTTCCCTGGGCTGGCCTTCAGGCACAGGGACCACTTGCTCATCCCCGTGGGGCACCCCTGGTCCCTGCAATGCAGCCTGCAGCCGCCACCCTCCTTGGCCAGGGACACAGCCTCGCCCACCCCAAACTGCGATGAGGCTCCGCTTGCTCTGCCCCAGGCCAAAGACGAGGGCAGCTGCCAGCCCAACTGGAGTTTCCTGGCTCCCACCGCGGGGCTGGCCCTGTGGCATGTGCTGTTTTCTGGTTTAAGGCAGACACAAATGGTCTGCAGCACCCTGGAATAACAGGCCCTTTCGCTCCAGGTGGTGGCTGGATTTGTCTTTGGGATGCTTCCCTTTCTCAAAGCTGAGCAGACAGAAAAGTCAGTAATAGGCAGTAGGAAAACAATCCAACTAATGTAATGCTAAAGCAGTAGCTTAAAGCTCCTGGGTTAATATTTACTGCTGAAACTACAGGAGTTGAGAACACAGTGTGCGGCTCAGCCATTTGAGAAATTGCACTGGAAATCGTGCATCACATGCCGATGATGAAAGAGAGCTCTGGAACACCGGGAGAGGGTAACAAGCGTCTACAAGCCGAAACATGTG